TTCGTTTGATGTATTAAACAAAGACTCATCTGCCCTCTCAGGTGGAAAAATTCAACCTGTTTCACCTTCCAAAGAGTAGAGGAGCTGATCTACTGTTCAAGTCGATCTTTATTCCTGAAGCAATAGTGCCAACCTTTAAACTGTCCAAGTATTGTTCTCTAAGTCTCAACTTAGACAGTCTTCAGATACCCACTTATAGCTGTTCTCCAAATTTAAGTATTTCCCTTTCTGTGGCTCACTGGACTGACTGTTAAGGTAGCCCCATAAGACCAAAAGTTATAAAGCAGAAGTAAGCCATTCAGCCCATGATGTCTGCTCTGCCATTCAACATTGATAATCCTCAATTCAATTTTGTTGCCTGTACCCCATTACCCTTGATTCTCTTACTAATTAAAAATCTGTCAATCTCAGCCTTACATATTCTTACCAACCCAACCTTGACAGCACTCTTTTTACTAAAGAACTTCACAGAATGACTAATCATTTCTGTCTCAAATGAGCAACCCCTTATTAGGAGATTATGCTCTCTGGTCCTAAACTCTCCCCGGGGGGAAACAACCTTTCCACATCTATCCTGTCAAGTCCTTTAAGAATGTTGTATGTTTCAATAAGACTACCTTTCAGTCTTCTGAATTACAGATACAGGCCCAGAGTCATCCTCCACTTAGTCAATCACACCATACCCAGTATCAGCTGATTGAACCATTTCTGGACTGCATGCAATGCTAGAACAGGTTTCCTTTGACAAGGGGCCCAAAACTGTTCAGAATTCCAGCTGTTGTCTGATTACTGATGACTTAGACTTCGACTCAGACTCCCGACAGTGTGGAAACAGGCCCGTCGGCCCAACAAGTCCACACTGACCAGATCCATCCCCCTATAACCCACTTAATCTACACATCCCTGAACACTATGGGCAATTTAGCATGGCCAATCCACCCAGCCTGCACATCTTTGGACAGTGGGAGGAGACCTGAGCACCCAGAGGAAACCCACGCAGACACGGGGAGAATGTGCAAACTCCACACAGTCAGTCGCCCGAGAGTGGAATTGAACCCATTCCCTGGTGCTGAGGCAGTAGTGTCAACCACTGAGCCACCAGGTGCGAGGTACTTGCTCCCTGTGTGGATGAGGGAAAGGACTATAGGTCTGAAACATGGTACAGGATAGCATTCAAGCAAGGGGAGCAAAAAGAGAAAAGTGGTAGTGGTGGGGGATTCTATGATTAGCAGTACGGATACTATATTTCGTAAGCAGAATGGAGAGTCCCACATGTTGTGTTGCCTGCCTGGTGCTACAGTAAGGGACATCCGAAACTGGCTTGAAAAGGATATTGGAGTGATAGGGGAAGGATCCAGATGTCGTGGTCTATGTTGGAATCAACAACATTGGCAAAAGTAGGCAACAGGTTCTGTTTGAGGAATATCAGGAATCAGGAACAAAAATCAAAGAACAGGAACTCAGGGGTTATAATATCTGGATTATTACCCAAGCCACATGCAAATTGGCATAAAGATAAGGAAGTTTGGGAAGTAGATGTGTGGCTGAAAGAGTGGTGCAAGAAAGACAGATTCCATTTTGAGGGACACTGGAATCAACATTTGGTCAGGAAGGAATGTATTGTTGGGACAGGCTCCACCTGAACTGATCTCTGACCAGTACCCTAGCAGAAAGAATAAAAAAGTGTGACACGTTACTATGACTTGAAGAGGTGTGTTTTGTCCTTTTTTTTTTAAAAACCCAAATGAGGAAAGTTTAGATAGATTTGAGCAGACTGCTCAGAACCTCTAATAGAGTAAACAGGTTGAGGGGCCTTGGGACTTTTTTTTTAAAAAAGTTGGAACAATAGAAGCAGACTGAATGTTGGGGGGGGGGGGGGCTCCCACCGAAGCAAGATTTTTAGTTTTAGCTTTCTGCAGTTGCTGGGGTCTTAAAACTGGACATGGAAGCTCTTATTACTCTCTCTGTTACAGCTAAAAGCTGGGGTTCTCTTCCTGCTGCTAATATGGCACGAGAGACAATGTTTTACTGAATTTGCCTTTGCCAAGAACGTGTTTACAGGTTGTTACTACATTAGAATGGTTAATTAGTAGTAGTTAATACATCTTTCATTTTGTCAAGCATTTTGATAGAGTTACAGTTAAACCAATTCTTTTATTTTTATTTTGTCTGTATTTTAACTGTAGTATAAAAATAAATTGTGTTTTGCTTAACATCAAGTAGTTTGACCAATCAAAATGCATCTGGAACGCAACCCCTTACACTTACCTTTAAAATAAGAAAAAGTCAGGGTCTAGACTATCTTCTTAATATATTTTGAGGGGTTTGGAATGGTCCATTACAGGTGGTCACAGCACTTTGAGCTAGTAAATGGTGGGGTGGGCAAGGAAATTGTGTTCAGGGGAAGTCTATACAGTCTCAAAATCAATTAACATAACAAAGAGTAAGGTGGGATGGCATGGTGGCTCAGTGGTTAGCACTGCTGCCTCTCAGCGCCAGGGACCCGGGTTCGACTCCACCCTTGGGCAACTGTCCGTGTGGAGTTTGCACATTCTCCCAGTGTCTGCGTGGGTTTCCTCAGGGAGCTCCGGTTTCCTCCCACAGTCCAAAGATGTGCAGGTTAGGTGGACTGGCCATGCTAAATTGCCCATAGTATTCAGGGATGTGTAGCTTAGGTGGGTTATAGAGGGATGGGTCTGGGTGGGATGCTCCAAGGGTCGGTGTGGACTTTTTGGGCCGAAGGGCCTGTTTTCACATGGTAGGGATTCTATGATGATTCCTCTATGAAACAGTCAAGAATCCTGCTTCAGGTACGACAAGTAATGATAAAACTATAAGAAATGTATTGATTAAACCGGAAGAGAAAAATCATAAAAGGGTGAATGAAGCATCAGTGCTGAGGGACAAGTTAGTGTATAGCCCATAAGCTCTTTACAAATGCAGAGAATGTAAAGAATAAATTAAATGAGCTGCAGATACAAATTCAATTTGGATTATGATGGCAGCCATTACTGAAATGTGACTGCAGGACGGTTGAGATTGGGAACTAAATATACAGATAAGGTTTATAGGACAGATGGTGAAAATGGCAGAGGAGGTGGAGCAGGCTTACTGATTAGAAACAAAATTACATCAAGGTGAGGGAGGATATAATGAGGGCAAATCATTCAGTGGAAGCCATCTGGATGGAACTGAGGAACAGTAAAGCATTTAAAATTGTAATAGGTGTTGTGAACAGAGCCCCCAGTAGCAGCTCTGAAGTGCTAGACTGTAAACAAGCAGAAATTAGGTAAGTGTGTAGCAAAGCCAGAGTGTTTTTAAAGGGGGATTCTAACTTTAAAATAGGTTGGAAGAAGAAACATGCAACTGTCAGAAAGTAGTGAATTTCTGGAGTGTGAAGCTACTACAACGTGTCCTGGATGCAACATGGGGGCAAGTAATATTGGATTTAGTAATGAGCCAGATTTAATTTGTAACCTAAATTGTTTATCAAATTATGATCATAACATGATGAGTTCAATATAACATTTGTAAGTGAAAAGCTTGACTCAGCTATGAGAGTTTTAGTTGTAGGTAAGGCCAACTTTAATGAGATGAGACAGAGACTGTCCACAATGAACTGGGAAAATCTGCTCATGTGTAGACCAACTGAAGAAAGTGGAGGATATTTAAAGGCACATTTAACACAATACAAAAAGTTTACATCCTGACGGAAAAAGCTCCACTTCACAGAAAAAAAAACACAGCCATGGTCAGTTAAAGATAGAGACAGCATTAAACTAAAAAAAGCTTACAAAAATGAAGTTAAAAAAAAGCAGATTCTGCTGACCTTTGTATTTTTCCCATTCAACAAAGGGTCACAAAGCAGCTCATAAGAACTACTAAAGAGATTAAGAAAGGAAACTTGCCAAGAACATCAAAATCAGGAAAAATAAATAGTTAATAATAGTTACATATAGGGAAATCAGGTGGTCAGGAGCATTGTTGGTCCTCTAAAGACTGAAAATTGAGATATTGTCAATGACCGTGGAGAAATGGCAGATGTGTTGAATAATTACTTTCTCTCAGTACTTACAGTAAAAAAACAAGGATACAGTAATGGAAATTCTGAAGTTGACTGGGGACAGGGGCTGAAGAAAGTAAGTAAAACATCAGTACAAGGAAACTAATGGAATTAAAGAATGACAAATCTCCAGGATCTAACATCCTCCAATGGAAGCTGTCAAAGAAAGTAGGGAAACACATTGTAGACACCCTAAATATAATCTTTCTGATTTTCCTAAATACAAAGGTCATCCCGCTGGACTGGAAAATTGTGCACGTCACTCCACCTTTTATGAAGGGCGAAAAAAAGGAAAACCAGGGAATTACAGACTAGTCAGCCTAACATATGTGGTGGGGACATTGATGCAGTCTTTTAATCAAGGATCAAAAATTTTAAATGGCTGATCGGGGGAGACAGGATGGTTTCATGATAGGTAGGTCAATTGATAGGTCAATTCAATTCAATGAATTTTTTAAAATTCTCTTCTACAAATGAAAACGGATGCTGGATCAGTTTTAATTTTAAATGTGAGGTAGATTTTTTTTTGGTTAAACAAAGGTATTTAAAGGGATGTGTACCAAAGACAAAGTATATGGAATTACAGCATGATCTTACTGAAAAGTCGAAAGGACCTCGTGGGGCAGAATAGCCCAATTCTGTTCCTGTGGTAAATTCCACCCAGTGTTTGACAGAGAGAAAGCATCGGAATAATGGCACCTCAAAGAGATTTAATTTCAAATTTGAGTGACTGAAATATCAAGTGAAATTACTGTGCTTTGAGAAAGAGGTGCAGGCACACACGAAGCCGGATAAAAGCAGCTCAGGGAACGTTAGTGACGCCGGGTAAGGCCCTGGCCGGTTCACATCGGCTTCAGCCTCGCCCTCCTCCCCCAAACCCGAGCCGGGGCCCCGCGCTCAGAAAGCGGACTCCCTGCCCCTAGGGACAGGCACTTACCGACAGCCAAGAGCAGCACGAAGGAGGCGGCGGCGGCGGCGGCACGGACCGAAGCCATGCTCCAGTCCAGGGACACGCGGAGGGGAGAGGATGGCGCAGCCAGGAGCGAGCGGGCGGGCAGTCACCAGGGAAACCGGCCGAGACGGCTCACTCTAAATAACGGCGATCATTATCGTTCAAAAAGACAGGGGCCGGCTGCGGTATCTCAGGACCCTCGCTCTCTCCGCATAGCTCTGACTCGATAAGGAATAAAACTTGACCATTTCGCGGTGAGTAGACACCACCCTCAACTTCTTCCTGTAGCCACAAAGCTTCCGGTCCCTGATCTAAACACACACACCCCTTTTACTGGAGCAAAATTTACTTTCAAGCTTGTCGCAGACCTGCTTAATCCAGGGAAAAAAAATCCAATAGGGTGTGTCTCTCGCAAGGCTCGTGATCGTCTTTCCTTTTCAAACTAACTTTTTTTTAAAAAAACACCTTTTTGAAGAAATATCCAATTAAAACCTGAAGGTTCACGCGAGTAATAATTGATATACAGTCCCAGATAGTTATTAGTGATTTAGATGGGGCGGGGGGAACTAAATAATACCTCCAAATTTGCAGGTGATAGATACATGAAGCATTCCCCCAGTTCCTAGGCACAAGGCCTGTGGGATCTCACCTTCCTGGAGACGGAGAGAACTATGTTAGAAGGGAAGCCGATTTATGGCAACGCGAGACGTCAGACCAGATCAATGTTGTTGATCCCTAACGGAAGTCTGAAATATTCCGGAGACAATCAATTCAAAGGGCAACAAATGTTAATATTTAGCTGCTGCACCCTTCCACCACCCCACCACGCACAATTCTTGATGACCCTATGATTCATTGTAGCCCAGAAGTTTATTTTTCTATAGATGCTACTACACCTATTGAACGATGTATAATAACTTTTTGTTTTAGTTTTGCATTTCCAACATCCACAATATTTTATAATTGCCTTTCTGAATCAAATCCTGGTACATTGTAATTCATCCAGATGCAGTTAAGTGGTGAAACAATTAGAACGAGTCCATTTAATTTTCCTGAAATAACAAGGTGTAGAGCTGGATGAACACAGCATCAAGCAGCATCAGAGGAGCAGGAAGGCTGACGTTTCGGGCCTAGACCCTTCTTCAGAAATTTTCCTGAAAGTCTGGAATAAAACGGATTTCTTCCTGAAAGCTAGTCACTGCAGCATCATTGACACTGAACTTAGCTTATGTGGACAGATCTTGACCTGTCACCTAGAGATAGTAGGAACTGCTGATACTGGAGTCTGAGATAACAAGGTGTGGATTTGGAGGAACACAGCAGGCCATGCCACATCAGAGGAGCAGGAAAGCTGACACTTCAGGTCAGGACCCTTATTCAGAAATAGGGGAGGAGAAGGGGGCTCTGAAATGAATAGAGAGGGGGGAGGCGGTGATAGCAGGTAGATAGTGGAGCGGATAGGTGGGAGAGAAGACGGACAGATCAAGGAGGCGGGGATGAGTGGGGGGTGCGTCTGGTCTTGGGATGAGATCGGGGTGGGGAGATTTTGAAGCTAGTAAAGTCCACATTGAGACATTGGGTTGTAGGCTTCCAAGGTGGAATAGGTGCTGTTCCTCCAGTTTACACATGGCATGGTTGTGACACTGGAAGAGGCCCAGGATGGACATGTCATCCAGGGAGTGGGAGGGGGAGTTGAAGTGGTTCGTGACTGGGAGGTGTTGTCGTTTGTCATGTGTCGTGAACCGAGCGTAGGTGCTCCACAAAGCAGTCTTCGAGCCTCTGCTTTGTCTCCCTGATGTAGAAGAAGCCACATTGGGAACAGCGGATACAATAGACCACATTAGCGGATGTGCGGGTGAACATCTGTTTAATGTGGAAGGTCTTTTTGGGGTCTGGGATGGAGGTGAGGGTGGAGGTGTAGGGGCAGGTGTAGCACCTCCTGCGGTTGCAGGGAAAGGTGGTGGGGCTAGTGCAGAGTGTGGAGCGGACGAGGGAGTCACGGAGAGAGCGGTCCCTCCGGAAGGCAGATAAGGGTGGGGAGGGAAATATATCCTTCGTAGTGGGGTCAGATTGCAGGTGGCAGAAGTGGCGGAGAATGATGCGTTGAATCCGGAGGTTAATGGGGTGATACGTGAGGACAAGAGGAATTCTATCTTTGTTTTTATTGCAGGGTGGGGGTGTGAGGGATGAGGTGCGGGGAATGCAAGAGATGCGGTTGAGGCCCCACCTCTTCCTCCGCTACATCGATGCCTGTATCGGCGCCGCCTCATGTTCCCACGAGGAGCTCGAACAGTTCATCAACTTTACTACCACCTTCCACCCCAACCTCAAGTTCACCTGGACCATCTCTGATACCTCTTTCCTTCCTGGGCCTCACTGTCTCCATCTCTGGTGACCACCTTGAAACTGATATCTATTTCAAGCCCACAGACTCCCACAGATACCTAGACTACACCTCCTCTCACCCATCTTCCTGCAAGAATGCAAACTCCTATTCCCAATTCCTCCGCCTCCGCCGCATCTGCTCCCAAGATGAGGCGTTCCACTCCCGGACATCCCAGATGTCCTCATTTTTCAAGGACCACAATTCCCCCCCCTCAGTGGTGGAAAATGTCTTCGACCGCATCTCGTGCATTCCCCGCACCTCACCCCTCACACCCCCTCTCCGCAATTGGAACAAAGACAGAATTCCCCTTGTCCTCAAATATCACCCCATTAACCTCTGGATTCAAATCATCATTCTCCGCCACTTTCGCCACCTGCAATCTGACCTCACTACGAAGGATATATTTCCCTCACCACCCTTATCTGCCTTCCGGAGGGTCCACTCTCTCTGCGACTCCCTCGTCTGCTCCACACTCCCCACTAGCCCCACCATCCCCGGCACCTTTCCCTGCAACTGCAGGAAGTGCTTCACCTCCCCCCTCACCTCCATCGCAGGCCCCAAAAACGCCTTCCACATTAAACAGGTGTTCACTTGCACATCGGCTGATGTGGTCTATTGTATCCACCGTTCCCGATGTGGCCTCCGCTACATCGGGGAAACCAAGCGGAGACTCTGAGACCGCTTTGTGGAGCACCTACGCTCGGTTTGCAACAAATGACAACACCTCCCAGTCGCGAACCACTTCAACACCCCCTCCCACTCCCTGGACAACATGTGCATCCTGGGCCTTCTCCAGTGTCACAACCATGCCACCTGTAAACTGGAGGAACAGCACCTCATATTCCACCTTGGAAGCCTACAACCCAGTGGTCTCATGTCGACTTTACTGGCTTCAAAATCTCCCCACTCCAGACCTCATCCCAAGACCAGCACCGCGCCCCCCTCCATCCCCGCCTCTTTGACCTGTCTGTCTTCTCTCCCACCTATCTGCTCCTCCCACTGCACTGACCAATCCCCACCCCACTTCCTACCTGCGCTCACCTTTACTAGCTTCATCCGCGCCTCCTTGACCTGTCCTCCTTCTCTCCCACCTATCTTCTCCACTATCGACCTGCTATCACCGGTCTTCCCCCCACTATCTATTTATTTCAGAGCCCCCTTCCCCTCCCCCATTTCTGAAGAAGGGTCCCGACCTGAAATGCCAACTTTCCTGCTCCTCTGCTGCTGCCCGGCCTGCTCCACACCTTGACCTGTCACCTACTGTGCGGGACCAAAGCCCTGTGATATGCCCCAGTATGCCACAGCGAGAGCAGATATGAAAGCTAACTTCCTGCTTTCTCCACCCATTCCTGACATCACTGTTTCTATTTGCACTGCTGTGTCTGTGTCACATGATAATGAATGATAAGGTTGCAATGAAAGCCTACCAGAGAAGAAGCAAGACATGCAGAATTGTGCATTTCAAATTTGCCTGGAAAATTCCTTAGATTTGGGCCCTGCACAGAGGTCATAAATTAAGCTCAATGTTAGTTCAATGTCAGTTAATCCATGAGAGTTAGCATGTCTACAATGCATGAATTGGTGAATTTGGTGTCATACCTATTGCAAAAAGAGGAAAAAAAGATGGGAGGAAAGATTGGATTGCGAAAATGACACAAGGTAACTTCTTTAAATTGCATTTTAATAATGTCCAATTAAAACCTGAAAGAATGGACATCACATTAGTAATAATTGATTTACAGTCTAATAGAGTTTGATTATTATTAGTGATTTGGATTAGGGACCTAAATGTAGGTGACACAAAGCTGGGTGGGTGCATGAGCTGTGAGGAGGATGCTGAGATGTTTCAATATGATTTGGACAAGCTGAGTAAGTGGAAAAATGCACAGCAGATGCTGTGTAATGTGCATAAATGTAAGGTTATTATCTGAATGGCTATAAATTCAGTGAAGAGAATGTGCAACAAGACCTGGGTGTCCTCGTACACCAATCACTGAAAGTAAGGATACAGGTGCAGCAGTTGGGAAAGAAGGCTTATGGCCTGTTGGCCTCAATAATGACAGAATTCAAATACAGGAGCAGTGACGTCTTTATTGCCCGTCTGTGAGAGACAACAGTACATACATAGACGAAGATACAATGGAGGCACTTGGAGGTCTATAAAACTACAATTAATTTATTAAGTACTTGAACAAATAACACACGCTTTTAACTACCAGAGATATCTCAATCACTGCTTTTCACTTACCTGATTTCTGTAACTAAAACCAAACACTATTACCCGGAGGGTTCGCAGCTGGTCAGGCTGAAACTCTGTTTGAGATCTTCACCATGCCTCCTGATGTAGAGTACTTCTTGCACAACATTAATCTTTGAAGTGTTGTTAAACAAAGGGATCTCTTTAGGCTCTTTGCACACATGTCTCTGTGCCAAGTGTGTGCCTTATTTGAATTATGCATGCGCATGACCAATTCTGAACGTTTTGGCCAAATGCATGCATTATTTGGACTTATCCATGCACATGAGAAATCCCAAATGTTTTGTCCAAATGTATGCTTCATCTGGTAGAGACAGCAGTTCCTGATTTCCTGCAGTTTTAAATCTTAACAGACCTGACTGTCTCAGCATAATTCCATTCACACAACAGCGCGTTGTTAACCTCTTCTCAGATCCTGTCAGTTCTTGCTATCTTTATCCTTATCCAACATCTTGCCGTGATTATACAGGGCCTTGGTGAGACCACACTTAGAATATTATGTGCAGTTTTGGTCTACTTGATTGATTTATTGTCACGTGTACCGAAATACAGTGAAAAGCTTTGTTTACAAGTGGTACAGACAGATCACAGCAAGCAAAGGATGTACAGATCAAAAAGACTTAGAGGCATACAGGTTACATTGCAGGTTACATTATTTGAGGCTAGAGTCCATTTAACAGCCTGATAACGGCCAGAAAGTACCTATTGCTGAACCTGCTCGTGCATGTGTTCAGGTTTCCGAATCTTCTACAACAATAACAACAAAAACAGAAGTTGCTGGAAAAGCTCAGCAGGTCTGGCAGCATCTATGAAGAAAAAATCAGTTTTAACGTTTCTGGTCCACTGACCCTTCCTCAGAACTCGGAATCTGGGTCCTGAGGAAGGATCACTGGACCCGAAACATTAACTCTGAT